CGGGAGCCACTCTCTCCACAGGAGCTGCGCGAGTGGTTTGCCCGGCGCTGGAGGCATGCTGCTGGAGCTGGAGGTTCGTCGGCTGCTGAGGGTGCTGGTGCCGCGGGTCCCGGAGGTGCTCGTACTGGGAGTACTGGAGCTGCTGGGCCTGCGGGTTCGACTGGAGCTGGAGCTGCTGAGGGTGTTGGCGCTGAGGCTACTGCTGTCGGTCCTGGAGGCGGTCGTGCTGGGGGTGCTACTGGTGCTGCTGGAGGTACTGGAGCTGGAGGTGCTGCTGGCGCTGGTGCTGCCGCTGGGGGTACTGGTGCTGTCCCTGCTGTGTCTGGAGTCGCCGCGCGGCCTAGGCCGTACTTCGTTCCGCTCCTTCAGCAGGTTCTTGGTCTCCCGCCTTCTACTGGTCCTCCTCCTCCCTTAGAGTGTCCACAGCCTGTCCCGTCACAGTTACAGTTACAGCCGGCCTCCCCACTGCCCGCTCCTTCTCCCTACACTGGTCCTACTGGAGGTCTTGCTGAGCGTCGTGAGCCTGCGTCTCGCCCTGCGTCGCCTGTCCGTGCTGCTCGCACTAGTGGTCGTGGTTCGCGTCAGCGTCCTCCTCCTGTCCCTGGCATGCACCGGATGTCTCTGCGTCCGTCCACTGCTCCTCTGCGTGCCCCTTTGCCTTCTCCTCCTGAGTCCTCTCTTCCTGCTCTTCCTGACCCGGAGTCGGACTCTCTTCGTGCTGCCAGTCCTACTGTCACGCGTCTCCTTGCTACTGTTGTCACTGATCCTTCCTTTGAGTCCACTGCTGCGTCTGCCCTAGTTACTGAGCTCGTCGACTTTGCTGCTCGCTGTCGTCTAGACTACGCTGCTAGTCTTGTTGCTGAGTCTGAGTCTGTCTGTCCTCCGTCCGTCGGGGGTGAGTGTGCCCTTGGCACGGACGTCCTTGAGGACAGGCAGGAGGAGTTCCAGTGTTTGGCTGCTGCTTCACCTCATCTCGTGTCCGTACTGCTTACCCCTGAGGGAGACCCGGATGCACTTGACATCCCGACTCCGCGCTCTTACGCGGAGGCGATAGAGGGTCCCTACTCCTCTCAGTGGCAGGCAGCTATGGACGCAAGGATGGCTTCCTGGAAGTCCACAGGCACCTACGTTGACGAGGTTCCCCCGCCTGGGGCGAACATCGTCAGTGGCATGTGGATTTTCAGAGTGAAGCGGCCGCCGGGTTCTCCGCCTGTCTTCAAGGCGCGTTACGTGGCTCGTGGCTTCAGTCAGCGGCAGGGAGTTGACTACTTTCAGACCTTCTCTCCCACCCCGAAGATGACCACTCTTCGGGTACTGCTGCACATAGCTGCTCACCGCGACTACGAGCTGCACTCTCTTGACTTCAGCACTGCTTTCTTGCAGGGCAGCCTGCACGAGGAGATCTGGCTGCGTCGCCCACCTGGCTTCACTGGGTCCTTTCCTCCTGGCACCCAGTGGAGCCTCCGGCGGCCAGTCTACGGTCTCCGCCAGGCACCGCGTAAGTGGCACGACACACTGAGGACTACACTTGCGGCTCTTGGGTTTGCTCCCTCTACTGCCGACCCGTCGCTGTTTCTGCGCGCCGACACTTCTTTGCCGCCGTTCTACATCCTCGTGTACGTCGACGACTTGGTCTTCGCCACAGCTGACACTGCTGGACTCGCCCACGTGAAGTCCGAGCTGCAGAAGAGACACACGTGCACAGACCTGGGTGAACTGCGTAGCTACCTTGGCTTGCAGATCACCCGGGACAAAGCACGCCGCACCATTACCCTGACTCAGTCACACATGGTGCAGCAGGTCCTTCAGCGCTTCGGCTTCACGTACTCTTCACCTCAGGCCACTCCTCTGCCTACTCGCCACTCGCTCTCAGCTCTGCCTTCGGATGAGTCCGTAGAGTCGAGTGGCCCGTACCCAGAGCTTGTTGGCTGCCTCATGTACCTGATGATCTGCACACGACCTGACCTTGCATACCCTCTTAGCATTCTTGCACGCTATGTTGCTCCTGGGAGACACAGACCGGAGCACATGGCTGCAGCGAAGAGGGTGTTGCGCTACTTGTGCAGTACGTCGGGCATGGGGCTTGTGCTTGGAGGGCAGAGTCCAGTGGTCCTCACTGGGCACGCAGACGCTTCTTGGGCTGACGACCAGGCTACGCAGCGGTCGTCACAGGGTTACACCTTCAGCCTTGGTTCCGGCTCTGTTTCGTGGCGGGCTACCCGCTCGTCTTCTGTTCTCGGCTCCAGTTGCGAGGCTGGGATCTACGCCGGGGCCATGGCTGCACAGGAGCTTCGCTGGCTCACCTACCTGCTGACTGACCTCGGAGAGCCGCCTCGTTCTCCTCCAGTACTGTACGTAGACAACAAGGCCATGCTGGCCTTGTGTCGAGAGCAGAGACTGGAGCACAGAACGAAGCACATTGCTCTCCGCTACTTCCTTGCTCGTGAGCTACAGCAGCGTGGTCAGCTGCGGCTTGCGTACGTGGCCTCTGAGGCCAACACTGCTGATATCTTCACCAAGGCACTTGCGCCTTGTGATCATCAGCGCTTCTGTACTCAGCTGGGTCTTGTGCCTACCTTGCCTCACTTGCTCACCCCTTGACCTTGTTTGTACTGTTGCATATATATATACACCTGCTCTTGCTTGTCTAGCCTTATATATATATGTAATCCTGCATGTGAACTGGCCTTGTGGCCTTGAACTTGTGCTCGGAATGTGTGGTGACTTTGTGATCCACCCTGAGCTTGTTTTGCTTTGCTTGACTGGTCTTGTGACCCCTTGTTCTCCCCCACTTTGCCTATGGGGGTGTGTCAGATTTATATGACATAGCTACTGTAGGCTATAGTGGGGTAGCACATATGGGGTACAGTTTTCCTAGGGTTTGCATTTGTACCCAACTTTCCCTTAGTCATTTCATTCCTCGTTTCTTCTCATTGACCGCAACAACTGTCCAGGTACCATTTGTTGACGTCCTTCTTTGCCTTGGCCATGTTTGCGAGCTTAGGAGTTAGGTGATGTTCCATGTCATGATCATCTTTGTAACTGTATCCTTTGTCGTCGTGTGCGATGCGTGCAGGTGGCGACTCCTGAATCCACTGTGGTGCCTCCCAGTCGTACTGGATACGGCCGACTGTCAGTTCGTCGAAGGTAGGGTCGTTCTCCTCTTCGTCCTTGATCGATCCTTCGGGTCTCTCCTGAGGTGGGTCTTGGAACATATCTTCCCAGCTGCGGAAGAAGCGGTAGTGCCGGTTAGGTCGGGGAGGTCCGTGACGCACCATGCAGGTTAACACCTTGTTCTTCCCTTTGTCGTTTGCAGATATGCGCGCCGGAGCCTGAGAAGTGCTGGCGACGGCGTGCGGGGACATAGTCTGGTTGCATGTTGGTGGTCCGGTTGATTGCTGGTAAGGCGCTCCTTCCTGTTGCCTTTGTCCGTAGTTGCCGTTTTTGTTGCCGTTCAGCTACCAACACTCATTGATCGTATGTCCTGTCTTTTTGCAGTACTTGCAGAAAAGTCTCTTTTTGTCGGGTGGTCCTTCTGCGCTTGTGTAAATGCGATCTTCTCCTTCTTGTTGCCTCTCTCGATGTACAGGTCGATCTCCTGCTGTTCGGAGAGGAGCGACGCGCAGAGCGAAGTTTCACTGAGCGTGCCTTGGGTGCGGAGAAGCGATTTGCAGTGGCGCCAGTCCGGACTCAATCCAGCGAGGATGATGGTGACGAACATGTCGTCAGGGAAGTTGCCGCCGCTTTTCTTTAAATTGGTCTCTCAGGTTTGTGCAGCGGTTGATGTATGGCCCGGCCTTTTCTCCGGGGAACATCTTCACATTGTTCAGCTGGTTTAGCAGGCGACTAAGTGTCACCGAGTCCGTTGCCATGTGGCAGGTGCGCAGGTGTTCCCAGGATTGCTGCGCGGGCGCCCCTTGTTCTTGAAGGAGCGGATGCTGTGTTGCTCCTCGGGCGTGAGATTCCGGATCAAGTCGGTGAAGGCGAGCAACGACTCGTTGTAGTACTGCGTCTTTTCTTGAGGTGAGCCGTTGGCCAGGAAGGGTAAGGACCCGTCGTAGTACATCCAGATCTGCGCGCTTTGGGCTAAGAGTTCGAACTCGAAGCTCCAAGTATAGAAATCCTTCCCGTCGAAGAGCTTGGTCGTTCTGAGCTTCGATGTTGAAAGGAACTTGCTTGTATTGATGCCATTGCCTCGTAATGTGCCTGTTGTGCTTGCGCAGATGCTTGTGCTCCGCGATTGTCGAAGGTAAACGACTGTTCAGAATGAGCTCCTTGTGGATCGGGAGGTCTGCGGGCGTAGCTAGAGCCGTCAATGCTCATCGGCTGATGACTGTCCAGGGCGCTGATGCGGGTAATGAGCTGCTCAATGAGCGCTGTGTCCACAATTGGCGTTGTTGAGGCGACATTGGTGGAGGGATGTCCTGGATTTTCTCCAGTTTCGCCACAGTCTGCGCCTGGCATGATGCCTGCCCTGAATGTAAGGTATTTATAATGAAGATCGTTTTGAAGAACAATATTTTAGCATATCTTATAGTCCAAACTAGCTCTCATACCATGTTAGAATAGGGACCTTTGGATAGGATAAGTCTGCTAGAGTTTGGTAGCGGAAATCTTGTAGTAGTGGTGTGAACCTTGTGCATAGTGAATGTAGATGACAAGATTGATTAAAAGAGAAACTTACACACAATAAATAGATATAGCTAGCCATGTACTCTAAGGGGTACATTCCCTTATTATAACTGTAATACAGGCATTGCTACAATAACCCTGACTCTTGCTCTTCTCCTGTTATCGGGTCGCTGCATGTAACTGTACAGACAGTTACGCCTGTTGCCATTCTTCGCAGGTAACAGTTCTGTCCAGGTTGGTCAACAGTCGCGACGGTTTGACTTGCGACTGTTGACCTGCGTGCCCTATATGGGCTAACGCGATACTGTTGCTGCTGCTGCTTCGGTAGTGGCGGGTGCGATACTGCTGCACCTTCGGGAATGCTCAAGTTAATTCCCGCTTACTCCAACAACATGAAAGAGCATTCATTTAGAGACATACTTACGAGACTTGAGAGCTTGGCATGCTCAAGGTAAGTATTACAGTACTTTGAAATGCGATGAAGAAGAGCTTTCCACTTAGATTCGGGCTCCAGGTTGTCACTGCTATCCAGCTCCATGTCATCTGAAACGGATATATCATCCTCCTCTGTATTGGTCAGCAGCTCTGAGTCCTGCAAATGTAGCTAATATTAGCTTGAAATATACAAATTTGAGTGAAAGAAGGTGGGTAACCAGAAACTCACCAGGACTTTCACCACTTCTGATATCCTCTCTCGTGCCTCTGCAATCCCTCCTTGCACGTTCTTCAAATTTGAATTGAGCCTCAGAAAACAACTCGCGCTCGCGCACCAACCCGCGCTCGCGCACTGACCCGCGCTCGCGAACCAACTTCCGCTTGCGTTCGTGCACTTGTCGCCGGACGCGACGGCGGGGAGGGAAGGAGAGGCGACGGCGGGGAGGGAAGGAGAGGCGTCGGCGGGGAGGGAAGGAGAGGCGACGGCGGGGAGGGAAGGAGAGGCGACGGCGGGGAGGGAAGGAGAGGCGACGGGGGGGGGGGAAGGAGAGGCGACGGTGGGGAGGGAAGGAGAGGCGACGGCGGGGAGGGAAGGAGAGGCGACGGCGGGGAGGGAAGGAGAGTCGACGGGGGGGAGGGAAGGAGAGGCGATGGCGGGGAGGGAAGGAGAGTCGACGGGGGGGAGGGAAGGAGATGCGACGGCGGGGAGGGAAGGAGAGGCGACGGCGGGGAGAAGGGAGAGGCGGCGGCGGGATGGGAGAAGAGGCGGCAGCGGGATGGGAGGTAGTGGAGATGGCGGGATGGGAGGGAGTGGCGATGGCGGGGAGTGAGAGGCGACGACGGGGTGAGAGGTGGCGGCGGGATGGGAGGGAATGGCGATGGCGGGGTAGGAGGGAGGGGCGACTACGGGATAAGAGGGAGAGGCGACGGCTGGGTATTAGTGAAACCCGATAGCTGGGTTGAGAGAATGGCAGAGAGAGCAGGTAGAGGAGGATTTGAGGAACCAAGAGTATGAGTTCGAATCGACAGCTGGGAAGGGAAAACGGAACAAGAATGCGCACAGCAGTAAAGCGACGGGCAGAGGGAGCAGAGAAGAGCAAATGCTCAAATTGAAGAAAGCGGGGAATTCGGGTTGATAGCGGAAGGCTCTGTGGTGCTGGCAAGAAAATGGGGTAAGGGCGGCGTCAGGTTATACATTTCACACACGCTTACAGTTCCTGTATCGTGGTTCAGGACGGTCCAACACGGTGAAAAACGGTTCTCGACGATTACCGCTCTTCACCGTGTTGAAACGAAATTTACCGGAGAGGGCTAACAAAAAGTTGTACAACCTGACGTCGCCCTAAGTAGCTTTGGCAGGGGTACTACTAGCGACCCTGCGCTTTCAAGGGAACTACAGTGCTGTATGGTTTAGGGGCGGAAAAGTGCCCGCAACTAGCACTGTAGTTCCCTAGAAAGCACAGGATCACTAGTAGTACCCCTGCAGAAGCTACTTAGGGTACGTTTCTATCCCGTGTCAGACACGAAGCCAGACACAAAGTTGAGGTTGGGAAGACCCAAAGGGACTCGGAATGCTGGCAAATTTAGGTTCGGAAGACACAAACTGAGTCACTTTGTGTCTTCCGAAGCTTTGACCTGATGTCTGACACGGGCTAGAAACGTACCCTTAGGGTACATTCTTGGCTCGTGTCAGACTTCCGGTCAAACTTCGTGTTTTCCGAGACCAGGGGCAAATTTTAGCCGGAAGACCCGAAGTGGGTCTCGGATGACCCAAAGTGGGGCCAACTGTGGGGCAGCTTCGTGTCATCCCCGGAAGACCGGAAGTTTGACACGAGCCAGGAATGTACCCTTACCCAAGAAAATGTGGTTGGGAGTGTGTGGCGCTGGCACGAAAGGTTCTCCCAGAGCAAAACGAGGTAAGAAACGGATTTTACAATAAGCGTACAGTGTCATGATGATGTGGCGAATTGCGAGCTAAATTCGCGGGCGAATTGCAAGCTAAATACGTGAGCGGGAGGGAGGGTGTAGGGACGATCAGGCGAATTGCACGCTAATTCGAGGGCGATTTGAAACTGGAACATGGCGCATGACAACCAAAAAAACAATCGCACACACTATTTTGGAACTTCAAGAAAAGCACGTGACAACAACGCATAACCACTTCCATCCACCTATCTGACACATCAGAGTTCGCTGCTTCTATTATATTGCAAAAAATCAATTGTAGGTACTTGTAAGGAAAATTCCTTTTCCTTACTTCGCGTCCCTGCTTACCGCGTACATAACCGTTCCCACCATCAGCACCCATCCATGAACGTTACCCGTTCACGACACTCGCCTCGACCACGACTCCCGCCACTGTTCACGACACGACCCAACCTAACGGTTTGGTTGGTAACCCGCGCTTCGGACCTCCGCCTCGACAATTCTCCAACCCTCGGCGCTAGGCCCGTAGCGCACCTCAATTTCCCACATTACCGTTACCACGGCAGTTTCACTATATATTCTTCGCTCATGCCTTCGCTCATTGTACTATTGCTTCGATAGTGCAATTCTCGCTCGTTCACTCAATTGCACTCGTAACACTTGGTATTCAGAGCCTACGATCTCTTCTCGGACCACACCCACACCTTCGCTTCCCCACTTTCTCAATTTTTGGGGGGGGGGTAGACGTCTCTCAGCGAACAAGCACCGCCGCTCGAAGTGCTCTCTCGTAAGCACGCACGGCCACGAGCGAGGCTCTTGCTGAGCTTGCCCGACACCCCCGCCATGGCCGAATTCACTCTCGCGACACTGACGCAGGAGCAACTCGACCGTCTCGTGCGCCAAGTCGAGGATTCGGCGCTCGAAATTGCGACGCTCACGGCGGAACATGACTCCGCGCGTCAGCAATCCACGGTGAATACTCCAGCACCACCACACGCACCTGCAAATGTACCCGCACAATCGGAGGAGCCGATCGTCATTTCATCAGGCACACCAACACAGAACGACAGCGTGGGACAGCGCTCAGGCGCAGCCAGTGATGGCGCCGCTCACTCGATGCCTGGCATGGAGAGGAACAGGGTCGCACCAAGCCCGCGGGAGCCTCGTGAAGCCCGTCGGCACGTGGAATTTGCGGCGACAAGTGGCGACCACGCCAGCATGGCACCAATGCCACTCAAGCCGCAGCGCCCGCCCTGCTTCGACCCGAGCCAACGTGGAGGTCCGACGGTTCAGTCGTGGGTCTTCACGATGAACGTCTTCTTCGACGCGAACTACGTCGAGTCGGACGCAGCAAAGATCAGATACGCTGTCTCGCTGCTGAGAGGCCCCACCATGGACCGGTGGCGAGTCATCGTGACGTCGCCACGCGCCTACGAGCCACCGTCGCAAGAGGAAGGGCCCACGGGCCCAGCTGTCACCTGGAGTTCATTCTGCGAAACCGCCCAATACAGCACGTGGGATGCGTGGTGCGCAGGGCTTCGGGCGCGCTTCGAGCCGATCGCGGCTTCTATTTCGGCGCGTCAGAAGCTGCGTACTTGGCGGCAGCTTGGATGGGTCCAAGACTACACGAGCGGTTTTCTCGCATTATGCGAGCAAGTCGGCTATATGCACGAAGCGGAGCGGGTGGACCGTTACGTCGGAGGGCTGAAGCCGGACATCTCGCACGAAATCATGCTACGCGGACTCTCGAATTTCAACGAGATCCTCGCGCTCGCCGAGAAAATCGACATTTTACGCCGTCCGAGACCGGGGTCCTACTACGGACATCGCCCTCGGGGACCAATCGAGCACGCCACTGTACACGCCGTTGCGACGAACGCAGCTGTCGCGCCGTTTAAGGGGCGCTGCTTTGCTTGCAATAGGCCGGGCCATCGTAAGAGTGAGTGCCCAGAGGAGCTGAGGCGCCGCGGAGCAGAGCAGGGGAGGGAGTCTCCAAGGTAGGGAAACGCCAGCAGTCAGTAGGAATCGGGCCAACTACTGACGAGACTGCCTGCTCGCCCAACCACACCGACCCTCACCGAGTCACAGTACCGATTCACGCTATCGATCGGGCTCGGATGAATAAGGAGGGTACAGGGACGGATTGCCCAGTACTGATTCACGGAAAAATACAGGGAGCAGCAGTGAAGATTTTTATCGACGGAGGCGCAAGTCACAGCTTAGTTAATACCGCGACCGCACGAAAGCTACAACTGACACTGAGTCGGTGTTTACCGGAGATAGACGCACGCTTAGTTGACGGCACACCGCTAGCCATACGGGAAAAGGTGGAGAGAGTAAAGATCCGCTGCGGGGGGAACTTCGGGTTTACACAGGGAATGCTCGCGACGACATTGGATGGGCACGACATTTTACTGGGACGTGATTGGTTGCGACGGTATAACCCGCGAATTGACTGGACGACGGGTAGCTGCACTGTGCAAAGTAGCGGTAACTGGGTGTTGCTACCACGCTGGCAGTCGCCCGAGTCTTCAACGGTCCACGTCAACGCCATCACGATGAAACGAGCTGTCGCCGCTGGAGCTGACGTGTACGCAGTGGATATAGCACTGATAGGAGAAGCAGAGCAGCCGAGTGATTTTCAGAAACTGCTGACAGCGGTACCGCCCGAACTTCAGGAATTGTTGCAACGGTACCCACAGATTTTTCCGGACGACTTACCGGAGGGACTGCCACCTCAGCGAGCACACGACCACCGAATAGAGTTAGAACCCGGGGCACAGCCAACCGTACAGCGACAGTTCAGACTGACACAGCCCGAGCTCGACGAACTGAGGAAGCAGTTAGACTACCTGCTAGAAAAGAAGTTCATTCGACTGAGTTCATCGCCATTCGCCGCACCGATACTGTTCACACCGAAAAAAGACGGAGGGTTTCGCATGTGCATCGATTACAGAGCACTGAACCGGGTAACAGTCAAGTCACGTTACCCCATTCCCCGCGCCGACGAACTGATCGACCAACTGCGAACAGCACGGGTTTTTTCGAAAATAGATTTACGGGGAGGTTACCATCAGATTAGGGTCGAACCATCAGACTGCGCCAAGACAGCATTTAGGACTAGGTACGGGTCATTCGATTACACCGTGATGCCATTCGGGTTGACCAACGCACCGGCAACATTTCAGATGACCATGAACGAGGCGTTTAGGCCGCTTTTAGATAAATGCGTGATAGTTTACCTCGACGACATCCTAGTCTACAGTCGTGATAAGCAGCAGCATTTAGCAGATCTGGAAGTAGTGTTTAAGGTTTTAGACGAGCACAGACTACTGACCAAGGGTTCCAAGTGCGAGTTTTTTCAGGACAGGTTAGAATTTTTAGGACACGTTATTTCGGAGGCTGGGGTAGAAATTGACCCAAAGAAGCTGGACACGGTGAAAGCGTGGCACCCCCCGACAAATATCACGGAGCTGCAGAGTTTTTTAGGGTTCGTTAATTACGTGCGTCGGTTCGTCCCCGACATGGCGAAATTAACAGCCCCACTGACGGATCTGCTGCGGAAAGGGGTCGCTTTTACGTGGGGGGGAGAAAGAGCATGCTGCCTTCTCTGCCCTGAAAACTGTTCTCTGTTCACCGCCCGTACTGCGCATCGCTGACCCACACCGCCCCTTCGAAGTCGTAACCGACGCAAGCGACATCGCCATTGGAGCCGTACTTCTACAGGATTTCGGCAACGGCCTACAGCCCATCGCCTACGAGTCACGAAAGCTGCATCCGCCCGAAAAAAATTACCCGATACACGACCGCGAAATGCATCGTGCATGCGTTCAAGGTCTGGCGCTGTTACTTGACCGGCGCAGACGTGACAGTACGGACAGACCACCAATCCCTACAGTACCTCCGCGCACAGCCCCACCTCAACCCACGACAGATCCGCTGGCTCGATTTCCTCGAGTCAAACTTCCACTACACAATCACCTACAAAAAGGGAGCATCCAACATCGCTGACGCACTGACCCGCCCCACTGCCCAAATCCACGAGATACTACTCGCCCAGACTAGCCCGCTACTGACAGGACTATTTACCCACGGGTACCAAACGGACCCATTCTTCACAGGAGGAAATTCGCAGCAGTTCGCAGCAGCCAAGGGAGTCTATTACGTAAAAGCCGAGACCGACCGCATCTGGGTACCAGGGTACACACTGCTACAGGAATTACTGTTACAGGAGGCACACGACGGAATTACCTCGGGACATTTCGGGGTAGAGAAAACATGGCAGCAGCTGCAGAGGTATTACTATTGGCCCGAGATGCTGACCGACGTGCAACGACACGTGGCATCGTGTCCCACCGCCAGCTCATGAAGTCGTCACGACAACGACCGGCAGGACAGTTGCAGCCGATACCACCCCCAGAGCGTGCTTGGCAGCAGGTGACGATGGACTTCGTCACGGGGTTACCGGCTGGAGCAAGTGGGAACGACGCGATCTTGGTCGTCGTCGATCGGCTGACGAAAATGGCACACTTCGCAGCATGTAAGAAATCAATCACAGCCGAAGAAACAGCTCGCCTCTTCATCGCCACCATCGTTCGTTTACACGGGATACCAGCAGCGATCATCAGCGACCGCGACACGAAATTCACCAACAACTTCTGGCGGAACCTGTGGCAGCAGTTCGGCACGCGACTACAGTTCAGTTCATCATACCACCCTGAAACCGACGGACAGACAGAGCGGACAAATCAGACCATGGAACAACTCATCCGGGCCACGTGCGACGACCCGAGCACATGGGAACAACAGCTGCCACTCATCGAATTCGCGTACAACAACTCGCCATCCGCCACGACCCAACAGTCACCGTTTTACCTGAACTACGGACAAGACCCCACAGTACCCATGACCCCGAATCCCAAGAACCCAGTCCCACGCGCGCAACAGTTCGCAGAAATACTGCAAGCAGCACGGACCCGAGCAGCAGAAGCAATAAAAAAATCAAACATCATCGCTAAAAGCAACGCTGACCGCCACCGCCGACCTGTCACCTACCAGCCAGACGACCTAGTTTTACTCGACACTCAAAACCTCCGCCTGCCCATCACCCCAAAACTCCGCCCCCGATATTGCGGGCCATTTCGCATCAGCCACATGATCACACCCGTCACCGCCCATCTCCTCCTCCCTGCTGACTGGTACGTCAGCCCGTCATTCCACGTCAGCCTGCTTCGCCCATACGTGCCATCCACTAGCCAACTGCCTCGCAACCGCCCCGCCAGCATGACACGACCGCCGACTAAGCCAATCATCACGCCTGAGAGAATACTGAGCCATCGAGTACGTGACCCACGGGGAGCCCGCAGAATCGAATTCCTGATCTGCTGGAAAGACCGCACGCCCACCGAAGACAACTGGGTCCCCTTGGATAGAATTGAGAATCATCCTATCCTCACTGAGTATCTGTGCAGCCGAAACTTCCGAGATGTACACGCGCTCTCGTAAGAGGGGCCTCCTTGGGGAGGGGGGTAGTGTAAGGAAAATTCCTTTTCCTTACTTCGCGTCCCTGCTTACCGCGTACATAACCGTTCCCGCCATCAGCACCCATCCATGAACGTTACCCGTTCACGACACTCGCCTCGACCACGACTCCCGCCACTGTTCACGACACGACCCAACCTAACGGTTCGGTTGGTAACCCGCACTTCGGACCTCCGCCTCGACAATTCTCCAACCCTCGGCGCTAGGCCCGTAGCGCACCTCAATTTCCCACATTACCGTTACCATGGCAGTTTCGCTATATATACTTCGCTCATGCCTTCGCTCATTGTACTCTTGCTTCGATAGTGCAATTCTCGCTCGTTCACTCAATTGCACTCGTAACAGTACTTCTATAATAATAACAAATAGAATATCAATCTCAAGATCGTTCCCCGCTGATTAGAACTCAATTGGAAGAAAAGAACATGTTTATCTTATTTTTTAATAAGTAACGAAGAAGCCCGCTATTTTGAGAAATAACATAGTTTATCGTTTCTTATATAATATAGTGCATTTTTGTATTAAAATAGTAACGCCTATGCAACCCTTCCGACGTTAATGTCGAATCTTGTTTATTACATTCTAAACCCCATCATCCATTTCCACAAAGCAAGAATCCTGGTTCTGTAAGGGCGAGCACATCGACGATTTGCCACAACTCTCTCAAAGTTACGCAAGCGGAATTCTGCGGATAGATTGGGGTACAAATACCTAACCCTAACAGCTGTACCCCACATGGCACAACTCACTACAGTCTACAACATTTGACACACCCCAATAGACCAAGTGAGGGGTGACACGCATCAATAAGTACATAAGGTCACAAGACCAGTAAAAAAAAACACAACAGCACAAAGCTTAGGTTGGATAACAAAATACCCACACAGTCTGAGCACAAGCAAGTGGCCACAAGGCCAGTTCAAGAGTTTGCATATATGGTACAGAGACAGGCAAAGCAAGAGACAAGAGCCAAGACTACAGCAACCGAGAACCGGTCTCAACAAGGACCAACTGCACACAGAGCCTGTGGTGGTCACCAAGCGGAAGGGCGTTGGTGAAGATATATGCAGTGTTGGCCTCCAAGGGCACAAAGTCCAAGCGTGCCTGCCGTCGCTGCAACTCTCGAAGGAAAAAGTATCTCACGTCGATCATGGCCTTGTTGCCAGCGAACAAGGTCCATGCAGAGCTCGGCCGCTCACCAAGGTCAGTGAGTAAGAAGGTCAACCAGCGAAGCTCCTGCGTAGCCATGGCTCTGGGGTAGATCTCGGCCTCATCGCTAGACTGCGCCACAAACGAGGAGCGAGCAGACCTCAACGACACAACGCCAGAGCCCAAGCTGAAGCATTCCCTCTGAGTAGACCTCTGGGTCTCGACGTCGTCCGCTTAATAAGGGTCGTAATTGTTAGCGGGAGTGGAGTGTTGGCCCCGCCCTCGCTTGGGCAACGCCGACGACTTGGTCGGATGTACGAGAGTTGCAGCCGACCGTTCACAGTGGGAGAGCTACTCGACAGGCTTCGTCGAGATGCAGGGGACCGTTGTGGTGTTGCCGTCGACTAGGGAGCTCGACAGCTGCAACTGACTAGTCTGGGCGACGGGTGGGCCATCGACCGGGAGGTCGACGGAGCAGTCCGTCGACCTGCAGTTCGACCAGGAGGTCGACGGAGCAGTCCGTCGACCTAACAAGTGAGCAGCGGTCGACGAAGGGAGCTCGGCGACACCAGCGGACAGTTATGGTCGTCGGAAGGGGTCCGTCGACCAGGGGGTAGCTCGACGGGAGTTGTGGTCGACCAGAGGCACCTGGTGGTCGACTGGAGGCACTGGTGGTCGACCAGAGCACTTGGTGGTGTCCAGGTCGACCGGGTAACCTGCTCGACGAGTTCTCCGGAGGCACGCGAACGTCGTCGAGGTCGCGATGGTGAAGGCGACTTCCGGCTGGTATCCCGAAGTCGATGTGGCTCGTCAGGCGCAGACAACAGCCGACGGATGCACAACGATGCAAGTCGGGCCAATCGTCTGCGCGCACCTGCGGGCGTGCGCACTGCTGCCATCTACGGGTGCAACGCTGGACAGCCGCACTACTGCAGTGTTGGCACGCCGTCGACCTCCTACGTTGGCAGGTCGCCCTTCTGCAGTGCTGGCGCGACTTCTCTACGCAACGCTGGCAGGCGGTCGACCAAGCTGTGTTGGCGGTCGACCAGGCTAGCTGCAGGGCTGCTAGGTGCCTGATGTAGTCATTGTTGTCATTGCTTGTTCTATTATTCTGTAATTCCAACTTTGCTAGTGAAACTTTTGCCAACTTCTCCCGTGAATGCGCAAGTGCTAAGGAACGCAAGCAAAGCTACGATCACTCTTAGTAGTTCGTGTCTACCCCCCCGTAGTCTAGCTCACTACCTTTATCGAGTGACTCTCTGTATGGTGCGGTGAGCGTGGAAGGCCCCGCAAATTACCTTCAGATAGGAGCCGACTTTTGCACCTACTAAGTCGTTCGTAGGCCGGCAGCAACGTTAGTCGCCATGGTCGACCCCGTAGTTGATGCGGGCGTAGCGGACACCTTGGAGGCTCGTTTGGCTGACGTGAGGAGACGCCACGCGGATGGAAGTACGGGACGATCCCCTTGCTGATCGTCGAGTTAAGCATCCGGTCGCAGTGGGCGACGGAACACCCTTCCCGTCCTGCATCTCCTCGACTGGTGCGCAACGTGTGAGAATAATACGAGGAATGAAATGACTAGAAATGAGATGGGTACAAATAGGGAAACCTAGAAATGTTGTACCCCCTATTGTCTAACCCACTACAGCCTAAACAGGCTATAACATAAGTTTGACACACCCCCATAGGCAAAGTGGGGGAGAACAAGGGGTCACAAGACCAGTCAAGAAAAGCAAAGCAAGCTCAGGGTGGATCTCAAGGATACCACACAAATTCCGAGCACAAGCAAGCGGTCACAAGACCAGTTAACATGCAGGTTGATAATATAACAAGAGGTACAGTGATCACAACCTAGCAAGTGTAAGCATGCAGGTATATGTACAGAGATTACAGTACAAGCAGAGTCAAGAAGTAAGAAAGTGAGGCACAGTAGGCACAAGGCCTAGAACAGTACAGAAACGCTGATGATCACAAGGCTGAAGCGCCTTGGTGAACACATCAGCAGTGTTGGCCCGAGTGGCCACGTAAGCAAGACGAAGCTGACCACGCTGCTGCAACTCTCGAGCAAGGAAGTAGCGCAGAGCGATGTGCTTCGTTCTGTGCTCCAGTCTGTGCTCCTGACACAAGGCAATCATGGCCTTGTTGTCGAGGTACAGCACTGGAGGAGAACGAGGCGGCTCTCCAAGGTCAGTCAGCAGGTAGGTGAGCCAGCGTAACTCCTGTGCAGCCATGGCCCCTGCGTAGATCTCAACCTCACAACTGGAGCTGAGAACAGAAGACGAGCGGGTAGACCGCCAAGAAACAGAGCCGGAGCCAAGGCTGAAGGTGTAACCCTGCGACGACCGCTGCGTAGCCAAGTCGTCAGCCCAAGAAGCGTCAGCGTGACCAGTGAGGACAACTGGACCTCGCCCTCCAAGCACGAGCCCCATGCCCGACGTACTGCACAAGTAGCGCAACACCCTCTTAGCAGCATCCATGTGCTCCTTCCCGTGTCGGCCAGGAGCGACATAGCGTGCTAGGATGCTAAGAGGGTAGGCTAGGTCAGGTCGAGTGCATGTCATCAGGTACATGAGGCAGCCCACAAGCTCTGGATACGGGCCACTCGTCTCTACGGACTCGTCCGAAGGTGGAGCTGAGAGCGAGTGACCGGTAGGCAGAGGAGTGGACTGTGGCGAGGAGTACGTGAAGCGGAAGCGGTGAAGGACCTGCTGCACCATGTGTGACTGAGTCAAGGTAATGGTGCGCTGTGCTCTGTCCCGGGTGATCCGCAAGCCAAGATAGCTTGTCAGCTCACCCAGGTCTGTGCACGTGTGTCTCTTCTGCAGCTCCGACTTCACGTGGGCGAGTGCCTCAGTGTCAGCAGTAGCAAAGACCAGGTCGTCTACGTACACGAGAACGTAGAACGGCGGCAGAGTGGTGTCGGTGCGCAGAAACAGCGACGGGTCAGCAGTAGAAGGAGCAAACCCAAGAGCAGCAAGAGTCGTCCTCAGTGTGTCGTGCCACTCACGGGGTGCCTGGCGGAGACCGTAGACTGGCCGCCGGAGGCTCCACTGGGTACCACCAGGAAACGACTCAGTGAAGCCAGGTGGGCGGCGCAGCCAGATCTCCTCGTGCAGGCTGCCCTGTAGGAAAGCAGTGCTGAAGTCAAGAGAGTGGAGCTCGTAGTCACGCTGAGCGGCGACGTGCAGCAGAACCCGAAGAGTGGTCATCTTCGGGGTAGGGGAGAAGGTCTGGAAGAAGTCAACCCCCTCACGCTGACTGAAGCCTCGTGCAACGTAACGCGCCTTGAAGACAGGCGGAGAACCCGGCGGCCGCTTCACCCTGAAAATCCACATGCCACTGACGATGTTCGCCCCAGGCGGGGGAACCTCGTCGACGTAGGTGCCTGTGGACTTCCAGGAAGCCATCTCTACGTCCATGGCTGACTGCCACTGAGAGGAGTAGGGACCCTTTATCGCCTCTGCGTAAGAGCGCGGGGTCGGGATGTCTGGTGCATCCGGGTCTCCCTCAGGGGCAATCAGCATGGACACGAGATGAGGTAAAGCAGCGGCAAAGCACTCAAACTCCTCCTGTCTGTCCTCAAGGACGTCCGTGCCAAGAGCACACTCACCCCCGACGGACGGAGGACAGACAGACTCAGACTCAGCAACAAGGCTAGCGGCGTAGTCTAGACGACAGGCGGCAGCAAAGTCAACAAGCTCAGCAACTAGAGCAGACGCAGCAGTGGACTCAAAGGAAGGGTCAGTGACAAAAGTGGCGAGGAAACGCGTGACAGTAGGACTGGCAGCACGAAGGGAGTCAGACTCCGGGTCCGGACCGTCAGGAAGAGAGGACGCAGGAGGAGACGGAAGAGGGACACGCTGTGGAGCAGTGGAAGGACGCAGAGTCATATAGTGAGTGCCAGGGACAGGAGGAGGACGCTCACGCGGAACACGACGACTAGTGCGGACAGCGCGGACAGGCGACTCTGGACGAGACTCAGGCGACGCAGGACAAGACTCAGGCTCACGACGCTCCGTAAGACCTCTAGTCGGCCCAGCGTAAGGAGAAGGACCAGGCAGCGGAGAGGCTGGCTGTAACTGTGACTGCGACTGGACAGGCGGTGGACTTAGTAGGGGAGGAGTAGGACCAGGAGAGGGCGGGAGGCCAAGAACCTGCTGAAGGAGCGGAACGTAGTACGGCCGCGGCCGCGCAGCACCTTCTGAACCAGCAGAGACAGCACGAGCACCCTCAGCTCCAGGGTCTCCAGCTACAACTCCCGCAGCACCACCAGCAGCTCCAGCAGCTCCAGCACCTCCAGCTCCAAGTCCCGCAGCAGCTCCAGTCCCAGTAGCTCCAGTACCTCCAGTACGAGCACCTCCAGGACCAGCGGCACTAGCAGCTCCAGCACCAGCAGCACCTCCAGCAGCTCCAGCACCAGCAGCACCTCCAGTAGCTCTAGCACCAGCAGCACCTCCAGCAGCACCAGCACCAGCAGCACCTCGAGTAGCTCCAGCACCAGCAGCACCTCCAGCAGCACCAGCACCAGCAGCACCTCCAGCAGCTCCAGCATCAGCAGCACCTCCAGCAGCACCAGCACAAGCAGCACCTCTAGCAGCTCCAGCACCAGCAGCACCTCCAGCAGCTCCAGCACCAGCAGTACCTCCAGTAGCACCACCAGCAGCTCCAGCAGCACGGCTACAGCGCCGAGCGTACCACTCACGAAGCTGCAGTGGAGAGAGGGGATCCCGCCGCGACGGGACACTCAGAGGACCTCCAGTCGCAGCACCCCCAGACTCAGCAACCCCAGGCTCAGCACCCCCAGGCTCAGCACCCCCAGACTCAGCAACCCCAGGCTCAGCACCCCCAGACCCGGCACCCGTAGGCTCAGCACCCCTAGCAGCACCAGAGTCAACAGCTACCTCAACAGGCTCGACTGCGTCTACCTGAGACACACCTGAGGGGGCAGGACCCTGAGGGGGGAAGGGGTCTACCTGAGGAGTACCTGGCGCGAGGAAGAGCGGCGGGGGGGGGAGGGGGGCCGTGCGGTAGGGGAAGAGACGGTAGTAAGGAACCGACTCGTCAAACGTGACGTCCCGTTTGGACAGAACACGGCGCGAGGTGGGGTGGTAAAACTGCCAACCAGGCGCGTCAGGGGGGAAGCCAAGGAAGACGCAGGGAACGGCACGGGAGGACAGCTTGTCCGCAGACAAGTCGCGGACGAAAGCTCGAGATCCCCAGACACGGAACGCAGACGCATCGCCAACCTTCCCCGTCCACCGCAGAGTGGGGGTGGTCTCCGGCATGGAGACCCGGGGCTGGAGTTTGATCTGATGCGCCGCGTACTGAACCGCGAACGGCCACAGAAAATGGGGAGCAGCCGCATGGATCATGGACGTACGAGCGACATCCATGACCATGCCAATGCGGCGCTCAGCAATCCCATTTTTCTGTGGAGAGGCCGGAAGTGTGAACGTCTGGCGGATGCCCTCCGCCCGACAGAAGGCTCTCAGAAGGTCGGAGGAAAACTCACCACCTCTGTCTGAGTGCAGACGCACAACAGGAAAGTCCGAGCCGAAACTCTCTCTGAGCTGGAGACGAGCAGCGCGGATCCAGTCGATCAACACCTCAGTGACCTCACTGTCAAACTATAATTCTATAGTTTGTGTAGTTCTAGTCTAGGTGTTTTCCCTTGTGTTATTTTGTACTTGCACTAGGGTTAGGTTTTGCATATATCTTCTTTGTACTTTTCTGTTTTAGTCATTTTCATATTGTGACATGGTATAGAGCTAGGTTAACCCTAGCGAGATTTTCCCCTTAGGAAAAATCACTCGACAATCATGGGCCAACCTAGTCGCGCCCCGTCCTAGACCCCCCGAATCGCGCTTACCTTAGGCCCCGTCGCCCGTAGACCCCCCCCCCCCCCCCCCCCCCGTCGCCAGTCGCCCGTCGCCCGTTTCCCCCCGTCGATCGCGGCCGTTTTCCTTTTTTTTTTTTTTTTTTTTTTTTTTTTTTTTTTCGGTCGCCCGTCACCCGTCGCGGCTGTTAGTTAACGGGCCCCGCGGCCTTTTGTTAGTGGGCCCCGCGGCCTTTCGTTAGCGGGCCCCGCGGCCCTTCGTTCGTGGGCCCAGAGGCCTCTTCGCTAGCGGGCCCCGCGGCCCCGTAGTTAGTCGCACGCATGCACAGCAGCAGCCGCGCGCACCAGCGACCCGTCGCCCCACCCGTTTCCCACCGTCGTAACCGCCGCCCCACCCGTTAGACGCGGCCCCACCCACTGCCTTACCCGCCACCCACCCTGTTAGCCGTCGCCTCACCCGCTATCTGCCGCCCCACGAGCAGAAAACCGCCGCCACACCAGAAATCGGCCGCCCCAGGAACTGCAAACCGCTGCCCCAGACCTGGAAACTGCCGCCCCACCTGGAAACCTGCTGCCCCACCCGTTCCAATCACCTCACCAGGAATCAGCCGCCCCACCCAGTACTCTCCACTGCACAGAACCGCACAGAACCGTGCAGAATCACGCAGAACCGCACAGAACCGCACAGAACCGTGCAGAATCGCGCAGAACCGCACAGAACCGTACAAAACCGCACAGAACCGCCGCCTTACCTTCCCCACCCGTCGCCCGCTGCCTTAATAGCCGCCCCTCCTGACACCCGCCTCCCCACGAGCTGCCACACCCGCCGCCAGTAGCACCAGCAGATTACACTGCCGCCAGTAGCACCAGCAACCTAGACTACCGCTAGGAGCACCACCAGCAGCTTAGGCTGCCGCCAGTAGCACCAGCAGCAGCTTCCACTGCCGTCAGCGCACCAGCAGAAACTTCAACTACCCCCCCAGCAAAACCAGCTGCAGCATAGGCTGCCCCCAGCGCATCAGTAGCACTTTAGGCTGCCGCCAGCGCACCAGCAGCAGCTTAGGCTGCCCCCAGCAGAACCAGCAGCAGCTTAGGCTCACATGGCGTGTACCAGAGTTCTACAGCAGCAGGGCCAGCCGCAGCACTCCCGGCAGTGGGGACCTGCGGGTCCACAGGGTGGAGCCCCCAGCAGTGGCTCAGCTAGCAGTGGGCGAGACGTCGGCCCCTGCGGGTACCGGGCCCTGACAGGCCCTGGTGCTGGCACCACCTGCTAGAGTCCTGACCACTCTGCGTCCAGCTGCTACCGTCGACTCGACGACCTCCACCGTGAGCGTTTTGGTTCTCACGCTATTACACCGCACTGGCCCTCGCGTCTTCGCCAGCGCACTGCTGCACCAGTTGAGTCCCACTTGCCTGGTCTAGGACCGTTCCCGGCTGCACGAGTAGAGACCTGTGTTTCGAGTCTTGGTGCGTGTGTTGTTTCCAGTCCAGGCGCCTCTGAGGGTCTTTGTGTAGGAGCTGCAGCTACCACTAGTCTTGCACCAGCCTTTGTAGCTGGTTCGGGTGCGACCTCACAGACTGCACACCTTTCCTTCACCCTAGACTCTGGAGCGTCCAGCTGTTTCTTCCGCGACTGTACTGACCTCACACCACTGCGCACTCCAGTCACTGTCGCCTTGGCCGACCCCTCTGTAGGACCTGTAGTTGCCCGCAGCACCACCACTCTCCCGTGTCCGGCGGCTCCCTCTGGGTTCCTCACAGGTTACTACACCCCCTCGTTCTCCAGGAACCTGGTGGGTGTCAGTCACCTCCACGACCTAGGTGTAGTCACCACTTTCCCAGTGGATGAGCCTGTTGCCTCCTGCACAGTCGGTACCACTGGGGCCCCTCTGGCCACTTTTCACCGAGAGCTGGGCTCTGGTCTGTACTCACTACACACAGGGTCCCACCGCACTGGGTCAGGCCAGGTCAGGTCAGGTCAGGTAGCTGCTGTGTCGTGCGACTGTCGCTCCCTCACCCACCCGTCTTTCCTCTGGCACCACCGTCTAGGTCACCCGTCGTTCCCACGTCTCAGTAGGATGGCACGTTACCATCTGGTCTCATGTCTCCCAGAGTCGCTTGCCCCGCTTCCTCGCTCGCCTGCGCCGCTGTGCACTCCTTGCGTCGAGGGTCGGCAGCGCGCTGCCCCTCACTCCTCCTCGTTCCCCCCCACCACAGCTCCCTTCCAGACCCTGCACTTGGACGTCTGGGGCCCCTCCTCGATCCTTGGACCACGTTAGGAGCGCTACTTCCTGATTGTGGTGGACGACTACTCCCGCTACACCACGGTTTTCCCCTTGCGACGGAAGGCCGACGTGCCTACCGTCCTCGAGCCGTGGCTACTAGCGTGGGGTGGCGCCCAGGGCCTGTGTGGGCTTCGCCTACACTCGGACCGTGGTGGTGAGTTTTCTTCCACTTGCCTGGAGACGTTCTGTCAGGGTCGGGGGATCCTCCAGTCTTACACGCTACCAGCCTCGCCGCAGCAGAACGGGGTAGCCGAGCGACGCATCGGCCTGGTCATGGAGGTTGCCCGGACCTCCATGTGCCATGCCGGTGCCCCCCAGTTCTTGTGGCCTCAGGCAGTCCGCTACGCCGCACACCAGCTGAACCTGTGGCCCAGTGACGCACGGCCACGGGTGACGCCGGTCTCCCTTTGGACAGGTTCTCCGAGCGTAGCAGCTGACTTCCGTGTCTGGGGTTCTCTGGCTCACGTTCGTGCCCCTGGCGCGAACAAGTTGTCTCCGCGCACTCGTGCCTGCGTCTTTATTGGCTTCCCTCTGGACGCCTCTGGCTGGGTGTTCTACGACCCGGTCACCTACCAGTTCTTCGCCTCTCAGGACGTCACGTTCGACGAGTCCGTCTGTTACTACAGGAGTCGCCCCCACCGAGGTACTGAGGCCTTTTCCCCCCCGCTGTTCCTCACCCTTGAGCCCCCACTAGTCGCCCCGGTAGCCCCCCCCCCTTCGCGTCCTGCCCCGTCAGGTGTGTCGCACGTCACTCCGCAGTCGTCCCCCCCGCAGCGTCCAGTCCCTGTCGTGTCTGGGGGTGCGGGAGGTGCAGTTGCGGAGGGTGAGGGTACTGGGGCTGCAGGAGCTGGTGGTGTCGGCTCTGGGGGTGCAGGGGTTGTGGGCGTGGAGGTCACTCCTGTGGAGGACACGGCAGCCTCGAGTCGGCGGCCTCGCCCTGCCTCACCCCCTGGCTTCCCGTCTGTCCCGCAAATTCCTCCTCGTTCTTCTCTGCGGCCGGTTGCTGCGGAGCCTGGGGGTGTTCCTGCGGGAGGTACTGGAGGCCCCGGGGGTGTCGGTGGTGGAGGTGCTGGTTCTGGGGGTGCTGGAGCTGGAGGCACTGGCACTGTAGCGCCTACACCGCGCACTGTACGTTTCCTGACCCGTGAGCAGCGTCTCCTCCGGTTGGAGAGGGAGGAGCGTGAGCGGTTTGAGAGGGCACAGCAGCAGCAGCAGCAGCAGCAGCAGCAGCAGCAGCAGCAGTAGGAGAGAGTAGAGGAGGAGTCATAGCAGCAGCACGAGAGGGGAGCGCAGGAGTCCCGGTCGCAGCAGCGGGTGCAGCTGCAGCCGCAGCAGGAGAGGGTAGAGGAGGAGTCACGGCCGCACCAGGAGAGGGTAGAGCAGGAGTCCCGCCCGCAGCAGCAGGTGCAGTTACAGACACAGCAGGAGAGAGTAGAGGAGCAGTCACGGCCGCACCAGGAGAGGGTAGAGCAGGAGTCCCACCCGCAGCAGCAGGTGCAGTTACAGACCCAGCAGGAGAGAGTAGAGGAGGAGTCACGGCAGTAGCAGGAGAGGGTAGCGCAGGAGTCCCGGTCGCAGCAGCGGGTGCAGCTGCAGCCGCAGCAGGAGAGGGCAGAGGTAGAGCCACAAGAGCAGCAGCAGGGGCCGGTACCGTCGCAGCAGACGCCAGAGGAGGCGGAGCAGCAGCGACTGCGACTACGCGACCTCCCCGACCCAGCACCTGCACGCTTTGTTCGTGGTCCCCTACCGTCCCCTCCTGTTCCCCCTGTTGAGTCCCTTTCCTCGTCCCAGTGGACTCGTCGTCCTCCCCTCAGTCGTGCTGTGTCTCCACAGCCCCGTCAGTCCCGTTACCGTGCAGACGGTCCGTTTCACCTTGTTCTCCGCTCTCGTGTTCCACCTCCTCCTGTCCTTCCACAGCCCCCTAAGTCGTCCCTCACTGTGCTTCACGACCCGTTGTCCGACTACCTCCGTGCCTCCCGTCCTGTCGTCTCCCGTGTTTTGTCTGCGTTGGTCACTCACCCGACTGCACCTCTGTCGTCTGTCTCACCACTTGTTACCACTGTCTCTGGCTTTGCCTCTTCCCACCGCCTTGACTACGCCGCTCACTTGGTGAGTGGCCCTGCTCGTTCTCCGTCCTCTGGAGGTGCTCCTGTCTTTCCCCTAGAGGTCCTAGAGGACAGGCAATTCGAGCTTGGTTTCCTTGCGGCCGCTGTTCCTCATCTCTGCGCCATGCTGCTTGCCCCTGAGGGGGATCCAGACGCCCTTGACATCCCGATCC